AAGCTGACTGACAGAGAAGTCATTGCAGATCTCTGGAGAGAGGAGGTGGCACAGTATCTTGGATCAAAGTAGAGTGGCAGAAGTGTTAGAAAATGGTTGAAGTTGGAATACATTTGAAGCCAACAAGAATACCAACTACATAGCTTTTACATGGCCAGTTACTAAATAAAAGTTTGATTAGATCCACAGTAGTAAATACTCATAAATCAGAGTGGAGGAAGAAAATAATGAAACCACACCACACCAGTCTCAAAGGGAATATAGTCTTTACTTACTAACCGATAATTTAGAATTTGAGGCCCACAGAATCGAGGAAAAACTTTTTATTTTAAAAAGATTCTTACAAAAGAATATTCTCTTTCAATTGATTTTCATATCAAGAATCATCAAATTAACTTTTTTCTCATGGTTATAATTTTGCTAAGTCACAGCCACCAAAAGCTTCTGTGTTAATATTAAAGGAGTTAATATCTGAAACACTGGAGTGTGCTTATATGGATTTAAATCTTAGCTCTTTCACTAAATAGCTTTATCATCTTTTCAAGTTACTGATTCCTCAGGGCACTGATTTTCACAAGTATAAAATGGAGACAGTAATAGTCACTATCTCAGGGGGGTGTTTTTTCCTATTCCATCATTGCTTTTCTTTCAACAAGAACTACTGTTTTGTATGTGTCTACTCTGTATTCCCTAAAGCAGGAATGGTAATTGGCATAAGTCAGTCAGAGCACACGCATGACTGCTATGGTCCAGGCATGAGCCTTTGAGCTATATTAGTGTCAGGAAAGGATTTTTATACCTCTTTGGTTGGAGGGACTGGTGTTTTTTTTCTTTCCCTATTAGAAGTGATGAAGGGGTGTGTGGCATCTTGGTGACCTTCTTGTGGACAATAAGAAGAACCAGCAACAATATACTCCTGACAAGGAGGGCAGCAGAGACAGAAAGAACCTGCAAGCTTGAGGATGTGATTGAGCAAACTGCATTATTCCTGGACTTCTACTCAAGTTCAATAAGAACGTCCCTATATTTATGGTTGTTTTAGCCAGGGTTTTCTACCTGAGGCCAATGCATCCTAACAGGTACATTACTTTTGGTAATATGCTGAGGATTAATAACTGTAAAGTAATAACTGCAAAGCATGTACTGATATTATAGGGGCAGTCAGTAAGTACAGTTGTTATTTTATAGCCTAAGATCCAAAGACCCCATAGCCTGGGGCTGGCATTGGGAGGAAAGAATAAAGAGAAGTGGGGAACGGGAAAGTGGTGTTTCAGGGACAGGGAATGGGAGAGTAGTCTCCCCCGTTTTTGAGTCTGCAGTGAGGCGTGAAGGAGGTCAGTCTTTCTGACACATGGAAACAGTCAAGGCCTGGATGTCATTTAAGGGATCTGAGACAGTTGTTTTGACGAGGAGGGACAGAAGCCAAGGATGCTGAAACCAAGGTGGGACAGTCTGGGGCCGCTTTAGGGAGATGCTCCTCTCAGTCTAGAAGGAGCATGATCACTGTTTATTTGACAAGAATTAATATCTTCCCAGTCTCCTCTCATTATGGTTTTTGTTCTAAAATATCCCCATAAAGTCTGTTATGTTTAGAAGTGGGGTTTTTGGAAGTGATTAGATCCTGAGAGCTGTAACTTCATCAAGTGGATTAATCTGTTGATGAGATGATGATTTGATGGCACTTTTGGAGGTGATGGAAAGAGGAGGTAGGGCCTGGTTGAGGAAAATGGAACATAGAGGCACGACCTTGGGAGTTATATCTTGTCTTTGGTCCTTCCTTTTTGGTTCCCTTCTCTGCTTCCCAGCTGCCATGAAGTGTAGAGCTTTGCTGCACCACATCTTTCTGAGATGATGTTTTTGTCCTGATACAGGCCTAAAGCAAAGGAGCTGGCCAACCATGGACTGAAACCCTGAACCAAAAAACAAGACTTTCTTCCTTAAAATTGTTATTCTCTGGTAATTTTTCACAGTGACAAAAGGGTGATTAACACATCTTTGGAAAAGAACAAGGCCTTTCAGAAAAGTAACAGATTCAATTTGTGACATAGTATGAATGAGGCATGGTAATCCTACTCTCCTCTTGGCTGAACTTAGGTTGGAAGTTGATAAAAGCCAAATAAAAGTTGAGAGCAAACAAGTTACTTTCATTTGTTAACATACCCTGGGCCACCAGCATGATGCAGTGCGAGAAGCCGGAGGTGAAATGACTGAAATGTTCCTCCCCTCACATCTTTTTAATCTGGGGCATCTGGGGTGATTTTGGGCCCAAGTGAAGATAGCTAGAGGCGATGCACAGGAGGAAAGCAGGGATGTAGATGAAACCCTGAGGGAGAGCATGAAGGAAGTATGGGAAAGAAGGGAGGGAAGGGGGAATTCACAGGAACACAGCTAAGTGGAAAAAGTAACTTGAAGAAGTCAATAAAGGTGATCAAATTGAAAGATAGGTAATATTGCCAAATACATACTCAGTCCTCTTCTGATTTCCTGACATATAGTTCCTGAACCCCCCTGAATTTCCAGCATGCTAGTGAGATGACTAGTAGCTGGTGGGATCTCTCAATAGCATCAGGGTGGGAGCTGGTCACAGGAAAGGCCAAGGCATGACTAGATTGTTGGAACTTTTAACCACACTCTAATCCCCCGAGTGGGGAGAGGGGGCTAAATGACCAACGGTTTAATGCATCAGTCTATAGTGATAACAACTTGAAAGGACTGAGGTCAGAGACATTTTGGACAGGAGAATCTGTGGAACTTCCTAACATGTGGCTCATTCCTCTCCATGTAACCTTGCCCTATGCCCTTTTCATGTTCATTCTTTGGAGTATCCTTTACAATAAGCCAGTAAATGTAAATAAAGTGTCTCCCTGAGCTCTGTTGATTTGCTCTAGCTAATGAATGGAACCTGAAGAAGGGGTGTTGGAAGCCCCAATTCATAGCAGAAGTACAGATGTCAAGCTGTACTGCTAGTACTTGTGATTAGTGCCTGAACTTCGGACAGTCATGTGGACCTGAGCCGTCAGCCTGAGGGATCTGCCGCTGCCTCTGGGCAGACAGTGTCAGAATGAGGTTGAATTAGAAGAAAGCTTTCTGGGGTCCACCATGAATTGGCTGGTTGTTGGTGTGGAGAAATCTCCACGTGTTCCTCGAGAAAAGAGATGGATTTTTTTCCTCTGTGTTTTGCAGAGGCAAACTGGGAAGGGGTGATGTTCTGAAAGAGTTTTATGACAAAAAGTGGCTGCAGTGTTGACCACTGTAGAAAAGCCCAAGGGGGTGCTGAGTGTCTGTTCCATCAGCTTGTAGTTTTCTGTGGTGGTGGGTGGTGTGGGTCTGGTGGTCCCATTCTGGCTACTGTATAGGTGCTGTGGAAGTGGAAATACCCTCGATAATTTATTTAAAAGTCCAGCCACACATCACTTAATGATGAGGTAGGTGCTAAGAAATGAACTGCCGGTGATTTCATCCTGGAGCATCACAGAGTGTGTTTACATGTTTGATACAGGCCATCGCTTGATGTGACATGATAAAGGCAAGATATAGGAGGCTGCTGCAGCCCGACAGGGCAGAGCATTTTTTTTTTGTTTTGCAGTAGTGGGGACTGGATCCAGGACCTTTGTACTGAGCTATATCCCCTGCCCATTCTTTTATTTTACATTTTGGGGTCTTGCTAAATTGCCCAGGCTGGGTTTGAACTTGTAATTCTCTGCCTCACCCTCCCAGAGTGCCTCATACCTGACTGGGATAGCATTTTTATGGTAAACTTGTTTTTTATAAGTAGAAGGAGTAAACTCCAAAATAATGATAAAAGCTATAGTAGATACATAGACCAGTAAGAGTTGTTTATTATCATTATCAAATATGTACAGTACATAACTGAATGTGCTGTTTTTATGCTACTGGCAGAGAAGTGGGTTTGTTTACACCAGCATCACTACAAACACTAGTAATTCGTTGTGGCATTACATTAGAATGTGCATGATGTCACTAGGTGATAGGAATTTTTCAGCTGCATTAAAATCCTGGTCTGGTGTTAACTGAAACATTATTATGCCATGACCAGTGGCTTATTTCTAAGTGAAGATCAGGAGTAGAGTTAAATAAAGAGGTGTGGAGGAGCCTGGAAAATTGCTATTACAACAGAAGCTATGGTATATTTTTTAAAGGAAGATGGCAAATGATGCCTTTTGAAGGAGAAGACCAAAAGCTTCTAAAAAGCCAGAGCTGAGTGCTAAAAATGGTAGTTCTTAGTCACTGCACCAACACTGCAGGATTTGGGAACCCCTGGTTTTCATTTTTTATCACTTGTTTAGCAAACTCTTTTATCATACAGATTGAGTATCTCTAAAAATCTGAATCTGAAAAGCTCTGAAATCCAAAACTTTTTGCATGCTGACACAACCACCACCAATGGAAAATTCCATACCATGAAACCTTGTTTCATGGATAAAATTATTAAAAATAATGTGTAAAGGCCCAAGATGTAGCTCAGTGGTAGGCTGAGCCCGGCATTTGTCAAGCCCTGGGTTTGATCTCCAGTACCACACACACATTATTTAAAATTATGTTCAGGCATTAAGTGTAAGGTGTATATGAAAGATAAATGACTTTTAGGTTTAGACTTAGATCTCCTCCCCAGGGTATATTATTATGTAGATGCAAACATTCCAGAATCTGAGGAAATCTGAAATCCAAAACACTTCCAGTCCCAAGCATTTCCAATAAGGGATATTCAATATATAGTTTCAATATATAGTGAACACAAAACTCATATGAGCTGGTATCAGAGTTAGGACCCATACCAAATGAATTAATTTTTTAATAAAATCTTCAAGAGCATATGCAAATCTCCCCCATTCCCAAATTACTAGGGATTTCTTTAGCAACAGTGCAACAAGATAATTTTTATCTTTTAGTCCAAAATCCATATACAGTCACTTTGGTTGACTTGGGTCAGTCAGTTCAGAACTGACCAGTTAGCTCCAGATAAAAATAGTCACACTAGCTGTTTTATAGACATCTTTTTAATGTTTTACTTTAAAGCAAATAATCCCAGAAAAAGAGAGCAAATGAAATTACATGGTAGCTTGAAATGGATATGATATTCCTGATTTATTTGTTTTCAGGAAACAGACGATTGCATTGTTGTACATGATTTTTAGAACTGCTCACTTAAATGCACATAATTATATTAAATTAAGTTGCTGTTACATAAACACAACCAGGTTATTTAAGGCAAAAAAAAATCAGCTTCTGGGGGGATAACATATTCACGATATTTCCTTAATCTGTTTAAACGCAATGATCCATTTATTTCATTGCCCAGTTTTCTTCATTGTTTATGGTTTTGCTTTGCAAATGGGCATGAGACATAGTCACTTTGTGCCTGATTTCCTCTTCTCTATTAAGCTTGTTTGACTTTTCAAATTGAGAACTTGCAGAATAGGGAGGTGATAAAGGCACCTTAGAACAAGAGATAGAGATTTAAAATCTCAGTAAAATGTCTTACTTTAAACAAAACTTGCAATCCAGAGATATTAATTTAGTCAAACAAAATGCAAACATTACATCAGAATAGCAAAATTTTCAGGGAGCCTCATACAAGGGGTATTTGCAATTAAGTAAGTATTCACTTGATCCTCCCCTACGTGTTGAAGGATCCAGACAAACTTGAACTGAGAAAGCAGGTGGCTACTCAGTGCTCAGCTAAGTTGTGCTTCAAGACACCATTTGGATCGACCAATGGGACTTTGCTAAGTGTAAATGGGACACCCTTTTCGTTTCCATACTGAGTGACGCATACAGAACTTTGCAGTTTTCTCACCATCTTTTACCACCCGAGAGTTTTTTGTGCTAGAGTGAGACAGACAAAATGGTCATGGCTTCAATAGATACAAGTTTTTCACAACATGGCTTATCACATTTTGCTATGACTAAGACCTCAGCGATGGTGGGAGTTTTATTTCTGAATCTGCAGTCTCCAGCAATGCTGGAAGAACTACCCTGCTCAAGGTCTAATGAGGCCTCAGAGGGGGTCCCTGATACATTCAGAATTTCTGCTGCCAGTGGGCTTTGACCCAAGACAGAGTATGTCCAAGAATCAGTGCTCCCTGAAAGTTGCTGGCTCCTTCCTCTTTCTTGGCTAATATTTGGAGAGACTTGCCCAGTGTGGGGCAGGTGTCTGGCTTTGGGTTAGTGTATGTGCGTGTGTGTGGGTGTGCGCACGCATGTGCATGTGTGTGTGTGGGTGTGTTTATGTGAGCAATGTCCTTGGGAGGGTGTATCAGAATTTCACGTTGAGTAGAAACATGGGAGATGAAAAATTGCATTTAAAAACTGACTAACCTTCTGTGTTTGGAAAATGAAAACAATTAAAAGCTTAGCAAATTCTTTTTAGCTGGAGTGTTTCCAGCAGTCAAGAAGATTCTGAATGATACACACCAGGGGAGTGTGTTAGAATCCAAGGGAGATAGGAAGTGGAAGCTTTTAAAATTGGAGTTTAGCAAAAGGAACAAACATTTTAGAAGGCCGAGAAGCATGTTTTAGGTAGAGGAGAATTAATTGGTTTACGCGGGGATGGAAGCTGGTTAAGGCCTAGTGAAATTGTGAAGCAAAAGAGTGACTGAGCACATCTAGCAGGGAGAAAGCTGGGATGGGCTGTGGACTTCAGGGCCTCTTTCCTTTGAGCAGCCTGCTAATAGGTCTGCTTCTTCTCCCTGGCTGCTGGAGATATTTGATATTTTTCTGGTGGCAACACTAATGCTTTCCCCAGAAAGAGCTCTTCTTTTCTTGAGCTCTTCTGTGGCTGGGGTTTAGCTCAGTTGAAATGCTATCTCTCCTCTCCTTGCCGTGTTCAAGCCACTAATATGGCCCAAATTCTAACAGTCTGAGGTAGCGAGGCTGACACCCAACAAGCAGCCAGTGTTGCTTGTTTCTGATCAATAGATTTTTCATTTTCCCTTGGTCTTTCTGCAGCCATGATATAGTAAATGTTTTGATTTGTAGATCTTGCCAATACCATTTGGCTTTTAATTATCAACATTTGTACTAGGAAACTGAACCAGTAATTTCAGACTCACAACTTTCTTGGGAAGAATAGAAAGTGTTCACCATAGTATAAAAAGTAAAGGAAGTTTAGCTTTAGCCTTTCATATGCAAAATGTATGACACAATAGTAAAAGACATTCAGGGCATATTAAAAAATAAATACTTTGCAAAATCTCTGTCTGTATATAAGAATAAGGGATGTTTAGGTAGTTGAATTCCCTAGCAAGTATTATTTTCTAAAAAAATCTAGTTCTTTTGTTTTGGTTTGTTTCTCTCCCCTTCAGTCTTTGAGGGGGAAGTTGTTTTCTGAGCTTTGCCTACTTCCTGGTGTTGTTTCTTGATTCTTTCCAAGCGGTTCCTCTCCCAGTCCCACTTAAACATCCCCTTCCCCAGGGTGCTACCTGTAAGCCAGGTAAGCGAGGACTGCTTCTCACACTTGCCCTTCACAGGAGCAGCACGGTGAGCCGAGGTTGACTGACCATTCTGCAGAGAAACCAGTCCAGTCCCACTGGTTCTTTTCACTCATTCGTGTACAAGTTGACCATTTTCAGAACTGACTGTGCCATTAGGGAATATGTTTCCACAGAGTCAAATATGTCAAATAGTCTATTTACCTCACTGGCCCTGAATTCCATCATTTGCACATTTTCTAACTGAAAACATTCTTGCCATAAAGGACAACATGAAAATGATGTGCAAAATTGCTTGCCGCGGCACTACATCACCAAGAGCACACAACGTGACATTCAAATGACATTGATAATAAAGTGAATGAGTGGGAATGGGTTGGCCAAAATATCTTGAAATAAGCAGCCATTTCTATTATTCCCCAATTCCGGTTTACTTGATACATTGTTAGCAGATGTTGATAGCCATTATGTTTAAATATACATTATGACCTAATTTTGAAAATGTATTTTGTATTTAGTCACAAAGCAGAAATGTCTGAAATTTAAAGGTGTTTACTCCCACATTTCAAAATATAGTGTCCAATCTTCTAAATGATCCAATCTTGACATTTTCACACACCTCATAGCAATAGCATTGTTTGCTATCTCAGGATTTTAAACTCAAGGTACATTACTAAATGTTAATGTCGATGCACCTTGAAATTTCAGCCATCCCTAAACATGCATTTTCATGCAATTAAAAGATAACGGGCTTATAAACTGCCTTTCATGTTCTTCCTGAGTCTTGCAAATTCAACTTTTAGAAGGGCTTTCAAAATAGTTCATGCAATGATATGTATGGCTAAAGGAACCACTATATTTAGAAAGAAAACGAAGAACTTATTTCAGTTTGACATGGGGCAAGCTGAGGGCATCTGAACTTTCTCCTGCCTTACAAATGCTCTGAGATGATCGGGATCTTCCAGTCCTTAGAGAGTCTGTTGGAAAAGCAGCTTCCTTGGCGGGCTGCGGTGTGCCATCAAAGGTGTCTGTCTCCGTCTCTTCGGCACACACCTCTTCATCTGTTATGAACAATTTGGATTCCCTCCATTTGGGGTAAAAATCTTGGCTGCCTCTGGAGCCACTTGACTCACTCCCTGAAAGCTGTAAATTCAGTTCCTCTGTTGACCTGATCAGATTTTGTACAGACAGAGATTTGCCCAGGTCCTTGGACACTGTGGGGAGGATGGACAACAGAGTTTCTCCTCCTGTGTCGAAGCTTTTCCTCAGAGAACGGTCCTTGGTCAAGTTGGACTGTGCAACCTGAATATTTTCCTTGGAGGAAACAAGGCAGGTGGTGGCATCAGAAATACTTTCCTGTAAGCCTGTGGGGTTTGGGTGCAAAGTCTCTGGCCTGGGCAGATGCTTGATGGCTGGGAGAGGAGGTGGGATCTGTAAAGTTGTTGGGGCAACTGGCTTGGGCGCCGTGGTTATTTGGTTTGCAATGTTGCTGGCTGCCACCGTGGAGCTGTCGCTCTGACTCATGGGCACCTGTGTCACTGGACTGTGCATAGCAGGGCTGAGTGCATAGAAAGTCTGAGCGCTGAACTCGTTTGGCGTCAGGATGAACTGCAGCCCCCGTGAGATGTTGGCACTGGCTGATCTGGTCAAGCAGCCACTGTTCTGGGCAGAACTGGACAGGTCTTTGCTGTCCACTGGGCTTTGATAGTCCGATGTCTGTTCACATTCAAAAGGCGGGATCTGGAACGAAGCCAAAGTGAGGGCAGAGGCGGAGCCCTTGCGGAGGACCTGCTGGTAGATGTCCAGGAGGCAGTCCAGCTTGGACTCAATGGACTGGACCTAAAGTGGGGGAGATGGACACACGCAAAGACGATCTGTTATTCAGAATGGATTTCACTTCTGGAATTAAAAAAAGTGAAATGATTGTGAGCTGGTACAATTAAAAAATAACAAGTGTAAATTACAATGCAGCTTCGACTTGAAATGAAGGCCACATCTGTCGTGATGGGGCCAGAGGAGGAGGCAGGGGAGAGGGAGGCTTTGGCTTCTGTACCACCTCCTCTGCCACCCCTCCTTCCACTTCTTTCAAATGGGAAGTTAGTTGATGTTCCAGAAAGCCAGATAAGCACTATCAAGTGCAAGTTGCCATCCCAATCCGATTACCTTTTTGATTCTACTGATTGCCTTCCTGGAACTCTATTGAATTTTAGAAAGGAACTTATTACATAATGAAATAAAGGCCGTAAGTGTCAACCTAGGTGAGTCTGAATTGAAAAATAAAGGTACAAAATGCTTCAGAATTAATACTTGGAATGTTTATGATTCCATTGGAAGAGCAATTTGATTTCTGCAAAATTGTATTTGTATGAGAAGATACAGCCTCAAGGTTGACAAATACCCAGTGCTTGTCGTAATTATGATAAGGTTTATGCCTTACTTTAAAAAACGGTGATCTAAAACAGAGACAGTGCAAAGAACCAAAACACAAATGAAATATGGGTCTTTACTCTTTTACTCTTGGAAATCTATAGTTGCTTCCAGTGAAGTATTCACTAATGAGATAAAACTTTCTATTGTGTATGTGGAGCTCCACAGGTGTTTTGAGGACACTGTATATACACATGTGAATTTCATTCACTCTTTCTTCATTTTATTCCTTGAAATGCATTAATCGTTAACACACACCCATTTGCTTTTTGATTAAAATCAAACTGGCTAAAGAGTTTATGAGTGCAGCTGAACGGTACCTGTTTTTCAACCTTGACTACCCGGCCAAGCATGCTGAGGTCATCTGTGGTTTCCTGTTCTGCTGTGATTTTCTCCCGGCTCTTCTTATCTGATGTGATTTGCCCCTTGCCAAGAATTTGATCAACACTACCAGAGAAAAGAGGATATCCGATTACACATGTCGAAGGTGCAGATTGCCTTGGCCAGAGTAAAATGTTTTGAAAAGAAAAATTAAATACAAGTATCTTTAATCTATTTAAGATGGGATAAAAGCAAGTGGGTTCCAGGTGATGATCTTATTTCCTAACATGAGATTACGCATGAGGTTAAATTTCTCAGAATTCTGGTTCCATGATGAATACACTTACGGGTGATCTGGGGGCAAAGCTGTCCTACATATTCCCCTCAGACCAGGCAGTTCTGAATTCAACCACTTAAAAATACAAAAAGTTATAATGATGATCATTTTGTATCAATAGGGCAAATTACTCAATGAGGATGCACTGCATATCTGCTATGTGGGTGATAAGTAGATATGAAAACTGTTGCTTTTTGTAATTTGAATTGGGAGAATATGCATGAGCTAGAAAGTCCAGACTAATTGTAAATTATCTTGCAGTTCAACCTTATAAAAACCTTGGGCACCATACATAGTTCCATAGATTATAACATGACCAGGGATAAGTTAAAGCAGTTTCCAAGGAGATTTGATCAGCCAAAATGGGATCCACTTCTACTTTTTGTGTATGTTTTAGACTTATCATAAGTATTGACTCTACTTCCCAGTTTATTTTGTCTGCATAGAAACAGGCAATTCCTACTTTCTGCCACAATATCTACTCTTTTAAACTATAAACTCTGCAAAGCCTGGATGATTATTTTAAGCTCTGGATGTCTACCATGCCTGGCATACATATTAGGCTCAGTAATTATCTGCTGAATGAATAAACTGATTTCTAGAATTAATCAACAGGCCTTTTACTAAGGGTCTAATCTGTATATGCCTCACTCTGGGCTAAGTGTGCTGTGGAAACCCCAAAATCATTTAAGACCTGGTCCTTGTATTTGAGCTATTTGATCTCTGATGCTGATAATTTGTGCCTGAAAATAAAGCCACTATTAAAAAAATTGGAATTGACTAAATATTTGGCTTGAAGGAGATACAACCAACCAGATGTGGCTGAAATCACTGAGCAGGATGCTTGCTGGAAGAACGCTGTACGTCTGTCATGGTACATGATGCTAGCAAAGGGAAGGGCCTATGTCTTAGTGGAGAGCAAAGACAGCAAACTTGCAAAGAGGGAAGAATACAGGGGCCACGTATCTCCAGCCCTCTCTCTCCAATTCTTCCAAGGCTATGAGTTCTGAGTGCTCTTATGCCTTATTAGTAACCTTTAATGCTGCAGAAGTTCAGAAAAGAGAAAGACTTGTCTTCAGGAGCTGTGTGGCTGGGAAAAGCTTAACGAAGGCGATAGGTTAGCTTATTGCCCAGGGGCTCTGATAGTAACAGAAACAGCAACAGCAGTAATAATCAAACAGCAGCAACAGCCACTGATCTTCACTGAGTACTCTGTGCCCAGGTGATTACCCTCATATATTAACCTTCTCAATCCTCTGGGCAGAATGAGCTAACTGTCCATTTTCAAAAGGAGGAAACTCCCTTGGAGGCATTGAATGCCTAATTTATGCCTGTGTTAAAAGTGGAAGTCCAGGGCTAGGGGTTTAGCTCAGTGGTTCCGGCGCCTGCCTCGAAGGTCCCGAGTTCCGTCCCCGGTACCAAAAAAAAAAAAGTGGAAGTCCAGTTGTCCACTAAAACCAAATTACAAATATAGACTTTGAAGATTTTGTCTACTAAAGAGAAATTCCTCCTAGATACAGTAATTTCTGTGCTCATTCCTTTACAGTGAATAGCGTTTTCATTGCTTACCGAGTTTGAAGGCTTTTAATTCTACACAGCATGTCCAGATGACCAGCAGAATATTGTTCAATGACATCTTTTACATCATATGGGCGCAATGTTTCCTTAAACTTTCGCTTTGCAACATGAAATTTCATGATTCTGTATGAATAACATATTACACATTAATCTTCATAACTTTGCTAGAAGTTACCAAAATGATTTTCTGGTAAATATAAGAAATTCTGGACAGGAAAAAAAAATCAAGCATCAAATTATTTGAGGTGCCTAGGAAATGTAATATAAAAGCCTGAAATTACAGAGACAATTTAAAAATATCTATGTGAGACACACCTTAAAAGTACAAAAAAGTACCAAAGCAGACTAAAAAAAGTGACTAAAGTTAAGTGTTATACTTTTTAAATGTTCACTGAAACTCGAATTTAAATCATAGTCAAAATGTAATTTTATCATTTCCATGTGATCCCAGAAGTTCAAGACATAAAACCTTGTGATAACAACCCTTAAAGAATAGGAAGGTCAGTGGAGCTGGGGATTTAGCTCAGTGGTGCAGCTGCCTGCCTCAAAAGCGCAAGGTCCTGAGTTTGATACCCGGTATCAAAAAAAAAAAAAATCATTACACTTCAGGGTTAGCTAGATAAGTTTCTTTTATCTTAAACACAGCACAATTATCAACTAAGCTTAGATATCTAAGTTTTTCAGAACCAGAGCTCTGTTATTACAACGTCTCCCCTAACATGAATTCCAGGTTTTAAAACAATATTTCATTAGTTACCGCCATGATGCCTATGATAAACAGTTCTTGTAGCGACTTCATAAAAAAATTCATGATTAAATCAAAGAAATGTAATATTTTAATGAGACTGTGTAGCCTTTTTGCAGATAAAAGTTATACTATTGGAGTTTTTCAACTAGTAAATGGCTCGTAGACTTGTGCTATCACACTCATAGGTAGCAGGCTGGGAATCAGTTGAGTAGGCTTTAAGAACCAGAGTTTATTGTCCCTTGGTGAACAGTGGAAAGATTAGGATGATTAGAGTTTAAAAAGAAAATGTCTATTGTCTATCTTAAATGATAGCTTCATTCAATGAATCCAGAATGTTTTATAGGTATAAAGCCCAATCTTTATCTTGTAATTGTATTAACTCTAAATTAAGTCTATCCTAATTATTGTTGAATCATTTATCCTTAACATTCTTACTCCCTCTTTCTACACAATTTTTTTTTTTTTTTTGGTATCGGGGATTGAACTCAGGTCCTTTCGCTTGTGGGGCAGGTGGCAGATCCACTGAGCTAAATCCCCGGCCCTTACTCCCTCTTTCTACTACATTTTCTTCACTTATTTTTTCTTTACTCAAAATAGGTTTTTTTTCTCCTCAAAGATACGTAAGCAAAAATAATCAGCAGGGAGTTAAAGAAATTTGTGCTTTAATTCAACCTCTTGAGTATTTAGTTTTGGTTTCAAATTTGTTTGCTACCATTTAGGTTTCACGGGGGGGCTGGGAGTGGGGGTGGTCAGTCTCCTAGATCCAAGAAACCGAGAACAATGCTGAACTGTGACATGTCTGGCCTTCAGTGATATGTAAATGTCTGTTTCTTTACTTCTGATTGTCAGTTAGGTAAAGGTAGAGAAAAGTTTCTTCTATTCAATGGTCAGTGCTTGTGATGGTCAATTTTTTTTTTTGTATTAAATTCTTTTATTGGTACATTGTAGGTATACAACACAATTACATTTCTCATTGGGAATTGTACCTTTACATAATGCATCTTGGTTCTTATTTTTTCCCCATTCCTAGCCCTCCCTTCATGCCCTCCACCTTTCCCTATTTACAAAGACTTTATTTCCATTTTTTTCATTTTTCATCACTTTTTCCTTTCCCTTTTTTCCTTTCCCCTGCCCCTCCCACTACCCCTACCCCTTTGGACCTTTTCTTCCTATTTTACATTATCGATTATTCATTCTAATCATTGGTACATTTTAGGCATACAATATAATGACATTCATCATTGGAAATTTGCACCTTTACATAGTCTCTCTTGGTTCTTATTTTTCACCCTTGCCCAGCCCTCCCTTCAGCCCCTCCATTCCTCCCTAATTACAAAGATTTTGTTCCTAGTTTTCCATTTTCTCATATTAATCCCATTCCCTTCTATTCTTTCCCCTAGCCCTCCCACTTCCTTCCCCTTTGCCCCTTTTCTTCCTATTTCACGTTACCTATTATACGTTTTAGTTCTTATTTACACTTTCAGTTTCTCACACCAGAGAAACTATTCGGTATTTATACATGTGTGTCCTATTTATTTCACTTAAGAGTATCGCCTCAATGTGCATCCACTTAGCTATAAATGTCTCTAATTTCTCATTTTTTATGGCTGAGTAGTACTCCATTTTACAACAAAACCACATGTTCTTTATCCAGTCTCCAGTTGATGGACATTTGGGCTGTTTCCAAGTTTTAGCTATTACAAACTGTGCTGCTATGAACATGGGCACACATATATCACTGTGGTATGATTCTTTTAATTCTTTGGGGAAGATCCCCAGCAGTGGAATAGCGGGGTCAAATGGGACTTCCAGTCCTAGTTCTTTGAGGTATCTCCATACTGATTTCCACAGTGGTTGCACCAGTCGACACTCCCACCAGCAGTGGAGCAGGGTTCCTCTTTCCCCACAGCCCCGCCAGCATTTGTTATTGGTTGATTTCATGATAGCAGCCATTCTTTCTGGAGTGAGGTGGAATCTCAGCGTTGTTTTCTGTGATGGTCAATTTTGATTGTCAGCTTGATTGGATTGAGAAATGCCTAGGAAATTAGTGAAGCACACTTCTGGATGTGCCTGTTTCCAGACTATTGTCTCATGAAAACTCTACCTTCATCAGTGGACTAAGCCACTGATGCCATCGTACTTTGACATTACAAAGAGGTGGACCTCTTTGGTTGAAGGGAATGGGTTATGGGAGTCTTCTGTAGGGGAGAATATCTGGCCCCTTCCTCATGAATTCTCTTCTCTTCCTTTGTTTCCTGGCTGTCATGAAGTGAGCACTTAGCTTTACCATGCTGCTCGTCTGCCATGACTTTTCCTGCCTTCCTTGGAGCCAGCTGACAATGAAACCTTTGAAACTGTGAGCCAAAATAAACATCTCCTTTAAGTTGTTTTTCTCAGGTTTTTGGTTACAGTGACTAAAAGTAGACAAATACAGTGAGTGCTTAATAAAAGTTAGCTTTTGATACTACCACTGCTTCTCCTACTATTGTTACCACTACTATTCTGCAATGTTGTGTGCTCAAAGATTGGTACAGTTTCTGACACAGTAGAAGATAGTATTTGCTGAATAGAGGGAGGAAGGAAAGAAAGCGATAAAGAAAACACCCTCCAGTCTGGGTTATATTTTGAATAAAACTAGAAATGTTCATCTATCACCCCTGGACCCTTCTTTGCCATCTTCAAAGTACCTAGTGATGCCAGAGTGGATAGGAAAAAATTATCTTTATACATCCCTCTATAGTTTGTGTGTTCTTGTGGTTATCAGTATTTTCTAATATATTAGTCAAGATTTTTTTATTCATGTGTAATAATCGTTCATACTTCTGGGGTACAGTGCAATGTTTCAGTATACATCTACATGTGTACTGATCACATCAGGACAATTAATGTTTTTGACTACTTATCATGGCTTTGTGTTGGGAGTCTTTTAACTACTCTTCTCTATTTGCTTGTAAAATATGTAATAGCATCCTCATTGCTCTGCTAAAATGTCACAGCTTATTCCTTCTAACTGTGCTTGAGTACCTGTTACCCACCTTCCAATCATCTATGGTCCCTTCCATCTTCTCAACACCTAGCAATCGCTGTTCTTCATTCCGATCGATTATTTGTTAACATTCATCTAGGAGAGAAAGCATGGTATTTGTCCTGATGTGTGGAACCTACCTCACTTAACATAATCTTCTCCAGTTCCATACATTTGTTGCAAATGATGGGATAGCTTTCTTTTCTATGACTGGATTATATTCCATCGTGTATATGTACCATAGTTTCCTTATCCATTCATTCATATATCTATATCTATATCTATCTACATCTATATATCTCTGTATAGATGTAGATATAGATATATATCTCCAGAAGTGGGGTAGCTGGCTGTCCTGAGGAACCTCCACACTGTTCTTCATAGTGGCTGTACTTGCACTAGTTCCCATACCCACAAACTGTGTATGACAGTGTCCTTTTCTCCATATCCTCATCAGCATTTGCTATATTTTATCTTCCTGATCATGGACATTCTAACTGGGGTGAGATGATATGTATCTCTCTCTTTTTTTTTTTTGGTACCGGGGATCAAACTCAGGACCTTGTGCTTGCCAGGCAGGCAGGGTGTCAGCAAACTCTATCCCTGATCAGAGATGATATCACATTGTGGTTTTGATTTGCAATTCTTTGATGAGTAATGAAGCTGAGTATTTTTTTTTCATAAATCTGTAGTCACTTGACTTTCTTTTGAGAAGTGTTTTTTCATAACTTCTATTTTCTCCATATTATAGAGTTGGATTATTTGGGTTTTTTTTTTTTTTTTTGCATTCTTTTACATTCCTTGTGTATCCTGGATATTTATCTTTTGTCAGTTTGCAAAATGGTTTTCTAGTTTCCTTTGGGAAGTGTTATGGCTTGTGTCTAGATGTTCCCCCAAAGCCTTTATGTAGTCATAGGCAGGGCTTTTCAGAGGTGGCTGGATCTAGAGTGTATGATGCTGGGATTAAGGGTGCTTGATTACTAAGTTAGTTCACTGACTGGTTTGGCATTGTTCTGGGTGTGGATAATTAGGAGACCTGCCCTGGGTATGAGTGCTATCAGCCCTAAAGGTGGGTAGCCTGGATAGAATACAAGGGACAGAAAGAGGATTGCAGTAGTCATTGCTTGTTAACTTGGTACTTGCTGCTTTTGCTGCCTTCTGCCTGCCATGAACTGTTTCTTCTCTGTGTTGCCCCTCTGCTATGTCACCCTGCCTTGCAGCCAATTATAGACTGAAACCTCTACAAATTGTGAGCTAAAATAAACCTTTTCTCCTTTAACTTTGGGTGTTTGGTATCTTGTCTCAGCAATGAGAAAAGTAACTAAGACAAGAGGTATTTAAGAGAAGCTA